AAAAACGTTATTATGACTATTGGGATATTTCCAGCCATTTCCGAGTTATGGCGCTTTCTAACTGCATTGATGTTTTCAAATGTCGCCTTTTTTGCTTCTAAGTTTTTACTGGTTGGGAATTTTGCATAAAACCTCTTTAGTGAAAATGCGACTTTTGAGAAGCTCTTTCGAAAAGGTCATTACCATTAAACCGGCAATTTCAAGAATTTTTGAGATAATGCCATTTAAACGTCGACGGTTCTTTAAGGTTTGAGGTGTTTGCCTCTAACATTTTACAGGTTAGAAATTTCTAATTTACCCTTGTTATTGAATTGAAATTTTTGAGCTGCTCTATCAAAACGTTCCTTACGACTGTCGGGATATTTTCATCCCTTTCTGAGATACGCTTTTTTAAACATCAACGGCACCTTTTTGCCTCTAGCTTTGCACAGGTTAAGAATCGCTGAACAAACCTAATGAGAAAGTTATTTAGAAAGAAAGTTAATGTAAACTTCAACGTTGTCTTCAAATATCAAATTTTTGCCTCTCACTTTAAAGTGATTAGAAGTTTCTGATCGAACCCAATTGAGAAAACAACAGTTTCTTTGGTTAAACCTAATCCAAAGTTTTGACTGTTGAACTTTCGCAATCTTCAGTTTTTCAATTTTTTGCTTACAGCGGTTTAAAGGTTTGATCTTTTGATTTTCTTACCGCCCTTAATTGACAAAATACAGTTTCTGAGTCGCTCTATCGAACAGTTCTTTATAGTTTTTCAGAATTCTGGAGCGTTTCTGAGACTTTGGTAATCTTTAGATTTTCGCATTTTTGCTTGCAACGTTTTAAAGCTTAGACTTTTCTGATCGAACCCAATTGCGAAAGACTGTTTCTGAGACTCTCTAGCGAAAGGGTGATTACGGCTGAAACAAGCCTTGGAAATCTTAAAACTTTCACATTTTTTGCTTACTACGCTTCACGGGTTGGAATTTTCTGATCGTACCTAATTGAGATCGACAGTTTCTGAGACGCTCTACCGAAAAGGTCCTGATGGGTAAGCAGGAATTTTGAACCGCTTTTGAGATACGGACTCTTAAAACTCGGGAATCTTTACATTTTCACAGTTTTGCTCCCTACTTTCTAGATGTTAGCATTTTATGATCAAACCTAACTGAGAAAAAATGGGAGAGTTTCAGGGGCGTCCAATCGAAAAGTTTTGAAATCGAATCGAAGTCGTCCAATCGAAAAAGAGTTTTGGGGGTTCTGAAAGGGGCAAAGCTCTACATTTACGCCCGCTCTATTAATCATGTTCTTGAGCTAGTTAGTTAGTTATAACCGTTTCCGCGATATAATTTGAATTTTTTTTGGGGCAAAGCCCTACTCGCATGCCATCTATTCTCAAGCTCCTCAAGATCATGTGGGCGTGGATTTTTGCCTCAAATTCCAACCCGATGTGGTCACTGAA